AAAGGCTGTTTTAACATCCATTTGATGAATTTTTAGATCATGAATTGCAGTCACTGCAATTAATAATCTAATGGATGTAACTCTAGTAATCGGAGAAAATGTATCAAAAAAGTCAAGATCTGTTTGTTGTTTAAAACCTTTTGTAACAAGTCTTACTTTATATTTATCAATAGTTCCATCCGGTTTAAGTTTTTTTCTCAAAACCCATTTACAGCCAATAGTTTTACAGCCTTGTGGTAAATCTACTAATACCCAAGTTTTATTGGATAATAATGATTCCATCTCATCATTTATAGCCTCGTTCCAAAAAACAGAGTCAGGAGATGCCAAATTTTTTTGTAAAGTTAATGGAGTTTCCTCCACATTAAAAACATGATAATTAGGGCCAAAATCTTTTTCTAATCTGGCTCTTTTACTCCTTCTAGGTTCAAAAACTACAGTATCTTGGTTTTGTAAAAGAGGAGTAAAGGGACCAGTTTCAGATAAAATATTTTCTTGATAATTTTGAGCCCCACCATTTTTAGATTTAAAAGGAAATTTTTCTTTATGAAAAATTGTATCACCTGATTCAAAAACTATTTTGTTTTCAATATCAAAAAATCTATAGGTTATACTATTTGTTGCATATTCAAGAAAAACACAAGTGGCAGCTTTCACACTTAATTTAGGCCTTTTGGGTGCACAAGTCTAACAAAAGCTAGACAATCCCAAACCCTCAAATATCTCAAATTTGGTTTATGCCCTTTCCATAACTCAAAAGGTGTAACTTTTGTTTTTTTATGTGGCACTCTATTCATAACATAACATGCATTTAAAATTGCTTCTCCCCACAAATTTGAAGGAGCACTTGCTTCAATTAGCATAGCATTTGTTAAATCAGTTAAAGTTCTATTTTTCCTTTCTGCTACACCATTAGATGCAGGTGAATATAGTGGAGTAGTTTCATGATTATTCCCAAAGACTGAGCAAATGCGTTGAATCCAAAAGATTCATACTCCCGATCTCTATCACTCCTATATCTTTTAATCTTTTTACTGAATTGATTTTCAACTTCAAGAAGGAATTCTTTAAATTTTTCAAAAGCATCACTTTTATTTTTCAACAAGTATACATAAGTGTATTTTGAAAAATCATCAATAAATGTGATAAAATATCTATTTCCACCACGTGTTAAAATTCCTTCAAATTCGCATAAATCAGTGTGAATTAATTTTAACAATTTAGTATTTCTCACCACACTTTTATGAGGCATTTTAGTTATTTTTGCTTGACTGCAAACTTTATATTTCTCAAACTTATTTGTTGGTCTGGGAATTAATCCTAAACTACTCATGAATCCCACATATCGGCTATTAATATGACACAGATGAGCATGCCAAAAATTCATAGAAGACAGTATGTAAACAGAAATATGTGCTTTCTTATTCTCAACATTTAATTTAAACATTCCATCAAAGGCATACCCTTTCCTCCCCACAAATATGCCTTTTTTAGTGATTACATATTGGTCAGATTCAATAGTCTGCTTGAAACCAGCTTTGTTGAGCAAATAACTCGACATCAAATTTTTCCTCATAGACGGTGTGTACAACACATCTTTTAAAACAAGCACACGTTCAGAGGTAAAATTCAGCTTAACATCCCCACACCCGAGCACCTTGGTTAAACTGGAGTCACCAAGCATAACAGTCCTCTCCTCATTAAAAGGAGTGAAATCTTTGAACCAATCTTTATCATAACGGACATGCCTATTGGCACCAAAGTCTGCCCACCACCCTTCCATAGATTGAACCATAAAAATATCTGTGATCATAGCCACAAATGGTTCCTCGGTAACATTAGCCTGTGGTCGAGACTGTTGTTTTCGAAATTTGCAAGTTCGAGCAATATGCCCACTTTTGCCACACACAAAACATGTCACATTTGTCAGATCTTGTGAAGGGGGTTCTTGGTTCCATTTCTTTTGCCTCGGGTAATTTTTATTTTGTGGCCTTCTAGTATTTTTTCAGATTTTCTTAACTGGCTTCAAGTGACTATTTTTTATGAAATTGACCTTTAGGTAAAGTATTTCCAGAAGTTAATTTACTTTTGTAGTGAAATGCTCTTGTGTCATAAGCACATCTTGTCATCGTGCTTCCTCCTCTACCCAAATCCGTGTGATTAGAGTCTCCAAGGACGTCTCTTTTTGTTTGTGATGCATTGACTTCTGGAACTCCCTCCAAGATGATGGTAGTTTGTCAACAATATCTGCTACAACAAGATTGTTTCCAATTTTGATGCCTTTGGATCTAACTTCAGCCACTTGCATTTGAAAATCTTGAACTTGCTCCACCACTGATTTTATATCTATCATTTGATAGCGGAAAAAATGGCTTGCAGCATATTTTTTAGCGCCTACCTTTTCAGTGTCATATTTATTCTGCAAGGCTTTCCAAATTTTTTTGGCAGTGGTATAAGTAGTGTCATAATAATCATAAAATTGATTTGAAAGATAATTCAAAAGATAATATCGACATTTATACTCATCTATGTTGTATTTCTTGATTTTTTCAAGATGAGCAGCATATTCCTCGTCGGTCATCTCTTCAGTGGGGACTCTGTTCGGATTTTTCTTGGTCAGGATATAGGCCACCTTGAGGAGATTGAGGTAGAAAAGAAACTTGCCTTTCCATCTCTTGAAATGGGTTCCCTTGAACCGGAAGGGCTTGTTGAGAGCGCCGGTATTCTCGTTGGGCTTTTCCAGTACTGGCTCCATGAATTTTTGCTATTTGAATCTCCTTAAAATTGTTGGTGATAATTACAAATAAAACACCAGAAAATACAAATAAAAAAAAATTACAATAATTATTGAAAGGGCTGAGGCGCGGGAAATTTGCTCTCTTTAAAGAGATTCAAGTCCTCTGCGGTTAGGCAAAGCCTCACACCGGTGCAGCAGAAAAAACCTTGATTTGTCCCCCCCAGGATACAACAGCTCGACTAAGTCGTATGATTAACCAATACTGCACAATTAGTTGAACCCAAAGCTTTACACATACACCCTTTTTTATTTGCTTGATAATCTCACAAATAAGAAACTTGAGCTACCAATAAGAGAGGTGAAAGACTCAATTTATAGGAGAGGAAACTTGGTGGGCAAGTGTCTTGGAGAAGAGGAAACTTAGTGGACAAGATTCTTGGAGGAGAAGAAGACTTGACTTGGTGGGCAAGACTTGGAAGAGTTGGAGAAGAAGACTTGACTTGGAGGATTATTGGAAGAAAAGTATAGGAAGTTGCTTGGAGAATTCTTGGTTACCAAGAAAAGGATTAACTTGGAGGAAAAGAAAACAAATCAAACCGATAATACATTATAATATTAAAATATCTACTAACAGAATTTTAAACCAAGTATTTTTATCATTGACCAAGGTGAAGTTGCTAAACTGTTGGATTTCTCGTTATCTATATTGATTCCTTTGGGAGAATCTCAAGTGGAAGATATGGTGGTTGGGACGTATGGGTTCGCAGAGCCTGAGTACATTGCCACGGGCATGCTTACTACGAAGACTGATGTTACGGTGTCTGCGCAATTCTTCTTGAAATTTTGACAGGACAGATGTTTGTGGACGTTAACCATGGAAAAAATCATGGTCTTTTAGGTAATTTTGTGAAAGACAATTCTTCTTGAAATTTTGACAGGACAGATGTTTGTGGACGTTAACCATGGAAAAAATCATGGTCTTTTAGGTAATTTTGTGAAAGACTATGTAAACAAATTTAAGTTAAACAAAGTTGTGGATCCTAGAATTGTGGCGGAGGGAGGAGGGATTGAGCAAGAGAAGCAATTTTGAGCTTTTGCAGCAATTGCCTCGAAATGTACTGAAGAAAAGAGAGAAGATAGGCCAGAAATGATCGATGTGGCAAAAGAACTTGGGCGAATTCAGAGGTCTGTTGACCTTGATCATTAGCTCTACCATAAACTCATTACAGAAGGCTGGCTTTGATTCATGTCACGTATAGGCACCAATTTGAATCAATCCAAACTCTAGCTACCAGCACCACCCAAAGCCCTCCATAACTCTGAATTAACTCTGCACCCTTTCTATTATTTAAAATCACACTAGTACCCCTCGTTAACTAACACCATTTAGTGCAATGGTGAAATACCGATAATACCAATTTATTTATTTATTTATTTTTTCATCTGATGAGAAGAATACATAGAAAAGAGAGAGACTTGATTCCACCATAATCATCTCTGCTGACTTCCTACCACCAGGCAAGAGCAGCAATTTCGAGCTTTTGCAGCAACTGCCTTGAGATATAGGAGTAATTATCCTATCATTGCGCTCGATAATTTCTGTAAGAGAAGAGAGAAGATAAGGCGGAAATGATGAATGTGGCAGAATGTGGGCAAATTTTTAGAGGTCTGTTGACACTCATTGGCTATATTAAAAAAATTACTATTTAAGTATTAAACTAAATATAAATGTGGTTTGATGAATAGTTTATTGATATGCGATCAAATAATTTTTATAGGTATATTTTGTTCGATATTCTTAAAAAATTAAACGATTTAGATCATCACAATACGATCTGAAGTGGGTCCCACAAGTTGCACGTAAATTTTGAAAATTCAAAATTATCTTTTTGATATTTATTTTTGTCAATTTAATTATAATTTTTTAAATATATATATATATATATATAATAGATCGTGAAAATAAATAAAATGAATCAAACGGGGTGTATTATGTGTTTTGGGAAAGGTCTTCCTCACAAGTTCCTTTATATCTTAAACAATTTCAATTGACTATTTTAATAAGTTAAAATATTTGTATTAGGGGAGTTAGTTAGAATTTTTTTTTAATTGAATGTGATGTTTATAAGAGAAAAAGTAAAATAATTATTGACTTTTCATCTTATTAACCAGTTTAATCTATTTTACTTTTTTATTAATTTAAAAATAATAATAAAAATAAATAAAACTAAGATTGGTTGTATTTGAACTTGTCTCTCCAATCCTACTATTGGTGTTATTATTCGGCCAATGTCGTCAAAGTCAGGAGTTCTCAGAAATGGGATATTCACATTAGAAAGAGAGAGAGAGAGAGAGAGAGAGAGAGAGAGAGCATAAACTTCAGATCTTCAATCGCCAGATTCTACGCAGTGCGCAGCAAAACAATAGGTAAGACTTCATGCTTCTCTTTTTTCTTTTTCCTTTTCCGTGTCAGCTTAGATCTTGTTCTTCAATCTGGATAAAGGAAAATAAAATAAAATAACAGTTATTAGAATTGTTGTCTCTGAACTTTTGATTTGATTTGTGTTTTTTCTTTCTTGTTATTGATGTTCTCTCATTCGTTCAGTGGTTAATGGTAGATTTCTTAGTTATTAATGGTAGATTTCTTAGTTATTTGTTAATTTTATTCTTCCTTATTTGGGTAAATTTCTTAGTTGCTTACAGAGGTAAGATTCTAATTTCTGATTTCTCAAAGCCAATAGCAGCTAATCTCTCTGTCTGTAATATACAGTTTTGAGAATTCTTACCTTAGCTTCAATAGCTTGCTGGTCATCATAATCTTCCTAATTAAAAAATTCTTTTCAAATTGGAGCTAAGCACTAGGTAAGACTTTCATTCACTCTGATTAATTTTCGTTTTCAGAATTTATTTTTTAGAAAATTTTATTTTATTTTTTTGGAAAAATTACCCAAAAATTTCATTTGGGAAAATGTTGCTCCATTTAATCCTGAAAGTTTTCTTTCAAACCAATTAGTCCTTTTATTTATGGTATATTGTTTTTGTTTAATTTGGGGTTGTAGATTTTACTTCTTTACCCTTGGATGTGATTTTGGTTTTGATTTTTTTCCTGATGTTTGGGTGGGTTGGTTATGGTATGGTGTTATCTTTCAAATTTTTTGTAGGGGATTGCGTGGAGTGATTTGTGAGGTTTGTGATGTTTAGCCATTTGATTTGGGGGTTGCTAATGTGGAAGCGTTGTGTTGTTGATGGTTGTGATTTTTTTTTTTTTTTTGCTACTGATGTTTGGGTGGTTTTATTAAGATATGATGTTACATTTCCAATTTTTTTTTGTTAGGGTTTCTACCATGTTTATTGCCCAGTAGAATATCTACCATGGTCATTAGAACTGATGTATCCAGGTGAAACTTTAATAGTTACTGAACTCACTCAACCTAAATGACCACTTGTAACTTAGATTACGATAGGTGCAGTTGACATGGCAACTGGTTCAGAATATCAGAGGATGCCTGTATTAGTTAGAATATTCTCAATAGGTACTTCATTTTCACTTGATCAAATCCATCAAAAACATGAGATGAATTAACAATTTTATGAGCTAAACCAATATTTTTACTGTTCCAAAATGGTACAATTACTACATTGCTGATTACAAACTCAGTGATGAATAATTCCCAAAGTGACCATTAAATTTTGAAATTCCTAATAACATAATTTCTTTCCTTGAGAGACAGCTTGGCCCAACAATAGTTTGGGGGTTGATGTTGTTGCCATTTCGTGTGGTCTTATGATGTAGAAACGCGGGTTGTTGATGTAGGTACATTAGCCTCTGGTCGATTGCAATTTTCCCAACATTACCGGTTTGCTTTTTTGTTTCTTGTATAGCAGATGCGTTTGTTTCTTCGCGGCCAATCAGGTTGACGTTTGGACGATCAAATTTGAACGGGTCCTCCCATCTGTCTCACCGTCACATCCTTTCTTGCATCGACTACTTGTCATAACAGTAACTTCAAATTATTAGTTCAATTGATAGCAGTAAGAACACACAAATAAAAAAATTACAAAAAAGGGAACTGTTACCATGGATGCTTGCCAACGTGGATATGAACGTAATCACACATAGCCAAACACGAACAAATTAAAAAATCCAAATTTACAGAAAACTGAACAACCAAAAAAAGAAAAACCAACACTCTAACACTATCACACACACAAGACCAACTACATACATGAGCTTGAGAATGCACCTTCATTAACATGCACTTTCAGAAACATGTAAACAGCCAATAAATCGTTGCCAACATCATGCAATCCATCAACATTCCATTAAAACTCCAACACACCTACAAATGCAAGAACACACAAATAAAAAAAAAACAAAATGGAAACTGTTACCATGGATACTTGCAAACGTGGATGTGAACGCAATCACACATAGCCAAACATGAACGTATTACAAACTACAAAATAACAGTAAACTGGACAATCAAAAAAAAAAAAAAAAAACACTCTTAACACTCACACACAGAAGACCCACCACATACATGAGACTGACAATGCACCTTCATTAACATGCACTTTAAGAAACATGCACACAACCAGCAAATCATTGCCAATAACATGCAAACCATCAACATTCCATAAAAACTCCAACATACTTACAATTGCACACATTGACGTAATGGATTCATTAATACAACGGAAGTTGGTTAATATTTACTAACATGGAAGTCACACGTCCTAACATTTACGTGGACAAATGAAATCAAATCCTACACAAAAGGCGACAAAATCTTTTACCACCAGTATAACAAAACCCCACTCAAACCAAACACATTTCAGAGGGCTTCCGTAAGCATCATAAGCATCTACATCACCATAAAAATTCCCTTCCACTAACATGGACATCCAAAACAATCCACATCATTACTAACACAAATGCAACTTCAAAAAACAGGGGACTCATTGCTTGCATCGCAACAAAACAAGACAACCAGTTTATTAATAACTCCACCATTGAACTCACGCCCATACATGATAACAACAAACACATACCACCAGAAAACACCTTCAAAATGTCAGGCACGGTGTTACATTATTATAATTACATTCACAAACTGAGATGGCCCAATACATGACTTCACCCCATGCTCAATTACAACCCCACCAAACCAGTAACATCAAACAACAAATAGGCCAAACAAAAACCCCTACACACCCATTACATATAGCCACACACTCAATACATGATCCAACATTGCCACACACCCAATTACAACGACGACGTACCATAAAACAAGGAAATGAAACATCAGAGACCACATACCTGACACCATTGTGCACCAACACAATCACAGCCGCCGATGAGGGGTGGATGTGAAAGCGACGCAGCTAGAGTAACACCACTAACGTCAACCAATCCCCCAAAATCACACTGGTCCAAATGCTCCCGACGACACAATGTTATAGGGTTTTCGGAATCAAAGCCAACATTATTTGGGGCAACTATCACTAATTATCCAACATTACCAAAAACTAGAGTATTACTCAGCACACTAACATCACAACCCAATAACATTCCATGTTAATCTCTTCCGGATTAGTCGGATAAGAGGGAAAACCAAAAAACCCTCTATAGTACGCTTTTGGACAACGATGTAAATTCAACATCAGCAAAACACCCTTTCTACCCCCAACTTATATACAAGCATATGTTCCAATGATGTACATAAATGTCTTTCACATTGTTATAGGACTTATTGGTCTACAAGAAAAAATATAGGACTAAATGGTTCATAAGATTTAAACTTAGGATTTTTGGTGCTTTACCCTATTTTTTTATTTTTTTATTTTTTTTTTTCAGTGAATTTTTTAATATTTTAAAAAAAAAATTTAAAAAATTTTTAAACACACCTAACATAAATACACTTTAAAGTATAATATTTATGAAAAGAATCTTTAAAAAATTTACCAAATACCAAAAATATAAAAAAATACAAAAATTCAGTATATTTTTATGTATTTATTAATTTTTTAAAATATTTTTTTACAAATATTTTACTATTTAAATACGTCTAAGTAAGGTACATTTAAAAAAATAAAAAATGCTTAAAATTTTAAAAATATTCACTAAAAAAACGAAAAACAAAAAACAAAAAATTCAATTTTAAAAAAATTAAATTCAGAAATTGAAATCAATTTTTCTCTCTCTTTCTACTGTGTCAACTTAGATATCGTTCTTCAATCTGGATAAAGAAATAAACAGTTGATTACGCGTAAGACCGTTAATTGATCTTTTTATGGGACAAGTCAAAAGTTTGCACCAACCTGTAGAGCTATTTCTTCTTTGGGTAATGCTAGAGACACCAAATTTTTTACCAAACAAATGATCAAATGTCTCACATGGGTGTGGGGTCCGCAATTTTGTGGGCCCCACACCCATGTGAGACATTTGGTCATTTATTTGGTAGAAAATTTGGGACCTCTAGCATTTTCCTTCTTCTTTTTCTGGTGTCCCACTACAAAAGCAACGCAGTAAAACACGTTGCAAACACTAATCAGCGTGTTTAGTTTGAGTTTTTTAGATTAAATTTTTTAAAAATTAAATTTTTTAGTTTTCACATTTTTTTTGTTTTTAGTGAATATTTTTAAGATATTAAACATTTTTTTAGATGCACCTTATTTAGATGTATCTAAAAGTAAAAAATTTGTGAAAAAATATTTTAAAAAATTAATAAATACATAAAAATAAAAAAATGTACCGAATTCTCGTATTTTTTTTTGTATTTTTGGTATTTAGTGAATTTTGAAAAGGTTTTTTTTACAATTTTTTTACTTTTTAGGTATGTTTATGTTAGGTATGTCTAAAAAGTAAAAAAAATTGCTTAAAACATTAAAAAAATTCAATAAATACAAAAAAAATACGAAAAATAAGAAAGTATAATTTTTTGAAAAGTGTTTTTAGAAAAGTGAAAACAAGCAAAGTGAATATTATCATCTCTAACCTAACTATTTAGAAATTATTATTTTATGATTTAAATTTATTTTAGATATATATTTAATATTACACATATTTACGGGTTATTTGAGATGAACTATATAAATGCACATTTTGACTTTTTTAACTAAAAAGTAGAGGAAAAAAAATGATTGTTTAGGGTAACTTTTTACAAAAAAAATGTATATTAAAATATTGTATGAAATACCTGTAAATCAAAACACAAAACATGCAGCGGAATAAAGTGTTTAGATCATACCTCGTTTGATCTAAAACCTTGTGGATAAATCACGTGCTTCCATACTCAATCAATCAATCTCAGCAGTGGGGTGATATTACAATGGTGAATATCACCCACACAAACCACAGTGCAAAATGACTTTGATCGTTATTTTGGGAGAGAGTCAGTATCATGGGTAGAAACAAAACATAC